AGGCTACATACAACATGAGGCTAACACCAGGCTACATACAACATGAGTCTAACACCAGGCTACATACAACATGAGGCTAACACCAGGCTACATACAACATGGAGCTAACATGAAGCTACGTACATTGAGGTATTTTGCTAACACAAAGACATGACGTTAGATTTTTTTGTGTTTTTGGTGGTGGGCAGTGATGTGGGCTGGTTTAGCTGTGTTAGCATTGTGCTGTTTATCCTGTCAATATTTACATCTGTTTGTTTCCTTTCTTCTTTGTTTACAGATAAACAAGAAAGGGAAGTGGATATTTATGCCAGCCTGTCAGATGAGAAGGCCTTCGTGTTTTCTGTAGCTTTGGCTGAGATCAACCGCAAGATCCTGGGTCAGAGACTGATCCTGTGAAGTCCTCAGATCCTGGATCTTATGTAGTTATCTTCAGACCAAAGGATTTGAAGGGACKCTCCCAGAGGACGTTAAAATAGCCAAAGAGTCCTGAAGGGGGCGGGGCTGACCTTTGACCTGACTGTGCTTCACATGGACACTGGATGAGATTTAAAACAAACATTCTAATAAAGATTTATAAAGGACTTGGTTCTGGACAGAGAACCTGGATGGTTTGACTCAGGTCTGGTCCTGTCTGAATCATCAGTGGTTTCTTTCTGGGGTTATTTTTGTAGCACAATCAGCTCTGATGGAAMCTTTTATCATTTCACATGATTTTAAACGTTTCTCACAGCTTGTAGTTTCATGTTAGGTTTGGTGGATCATCAGTGGACCAAACTGAGCTCCCCATGGACCTGCTGTGGCCCCTGGGCCAGCTGTTGAATAGTCCTGGTATAATGTAAGTACATGTATTATATGGATATTGCATATATAATGTATGTACTGCTCACATTAACTGTTCAAATAAAACATTTTTGACAAAAAATAAATTATTAAAGGGCCAATATGAGTCAGTTTTTAATATTTTAATAAAACATAAAAATGTCCCTAAACCTACCACAAAGTGTTTTATCTTTTAAAAGGTTTTTGTAATTTTCTTATTTATTTTACTGGTGGTTAGACAGTTCAAAAGCCTGCAAGTATTTACAGCAGATGAAAAACAACTTGAACAAAAGAAAACATTTAAAGCAGTGGAGGGCTTAATAAGATACCCTGGTGTACACACACTGTTGGATCTGACAGTAAAACCTTCACRTCACTGGAGTTCACCATCAGCCAGGACTGGTCTGACTGGATTAACTGGATTCACCTCAACAGCTTTCTAACCTGATGTGTTGATGTTGAACTTATACCAACTAATGTGGCATAAAAATAATCCTTTAAGTGTGGGAGGTCCTTTAATCTGTAGGGTTTATTCTTCATCCTGGCTCCTTTCTGCCACAGAGTGCTAGGACCACACAAGATTATTTTCAATTACAAGATTAAAGTCATAATATTACAAGATTAAAGTCAGAATATTACAAGATTAAAGTCAGAACATTACAAGATTAAAGTCAGAACATTACAAGATTATTTTTAAATTACAAGATTAAAGTCAGAACATTACAAGATTAAAGTCAGAATATTACAAGATTAAAATCAGAATATTACAAGATTAAAGTCAGAATATTACAAGATTAAAATCAGAACATTACATGATTAAAGTCAGAATATTACAAGATTATTTTTAAATTACAAGATTAAAGTCAGAATATTACAAGATTAAAATCAGAACATTACATGATTAAAGTCAGAACATTACAAGATTAAAGTCAGAATATTACAAGATTAAAGTCAGAATATTACAAGATTAAAGTCAGAACATTACAAGATTAAAGTCAGAATATTACAAGATTAAAGTCAGAACATTACAAGATTAAAGTCAGAATATTACAAGATTATTTTAAATTACAAGATTAAAGTCAGAATATTACAAGATTAAAGTCAGAACATTACAAGATTAAAGTCAGAATATTACAAGATTAAAATCAGAATATTACAAGATT